AAAGCTCTCCCATGCTCTTGGATAGGTAAAATCAACATAGTAAAAATGGCAATTTTACCAAAAACAATCTACAGATTCAATGCAATTCTGATCAAAGTCCTAGCACAATTCTTCACAGATCTTGAAAGGACAATACTCAACTTTATATGGAAAAACAAAAAATCCAGGATAGCCAAAACAATAAAGGAACTTCTGGAGGAATCACCATCCTTGACTTCAAGCTCTACTACAGAGCTATAATAATGAAAACAGCTTGATATTGGCACAAAAAAACAGACAGGTAGACCAATGGAATCAAATTGAAGACCCTGATATTAACTCACACATCTATGGACACCTGATTTTTCACAATGGTAAAACTATGCAATGAAAAAAAAAAAAAAAAAAAAAAAGAACATCTTCACAAATGGTGCTGCCATAACAGGATGTGGAATGTAGAAGATTGCAGGTAGAGCCATATCTTTTGACATGCACAAAACTTAAGTTCAAGTGGATCAAAGACTACAACATAAATTCAGCCACACTGGACCTCTTGGAAGAGAAAGTGGGAGGTACCCTTGAACGAATTGGTACAGGAGACTGTTTCCTGAACATAACACCAATAGCACAGACACTGAGATCAACAGTTAATAAAAACAACCTCCTGAAACTGAGAAGTTTCTGAAGTTTCTGTAAGGCAAAGGACACAGTCAACAAGACAAAATGGCAGCCCACAGAATGGGAAAAGATCTTCACCAACTCGACATCTGACAGAGGGCTGATTTCTAAAATATACAAAGAACTCTAGAAGCTAGTCACCAAAACACCAAATAATCCAATTAAAAATCGGGGTACAGAACTTGGAAAGAATTCTCAATAAAGGAATCCAAAATGGCTGAAAGACACTTAAGAAAGTGTTCAATATCCTTAGCCATCAGGGAAATACAAATCAAAACAACTCTGAGATATCATCTTATTCCTGTCAAAATGGCTAAAATGAAAAACACCAATAATAGTTTATGTTGGACAGGATGTGAAGAAAGGGGAATGCTCCTCCATTGCTGGTGGGAGTGCAAACTTGTACAGCGACTTTAGAATCAGTGTGGTGGTTCCTCCAGAAAATGAGAACCAACAATTCCACTCTTAGACATATACCTAAAGGATGCACATTCATACAACAAGAACATCTGTTCAACTACGTTGATAGCAGCATTACTTATAATAGCTAGATCCTGGAAGCAACCTAGATGACCCTCAACAGAAGAATGGATGCAGAAAATGTGGTACATTTACACAATGGAGTACTACTCGGTGGAAAAAAACACAATGGAATCTTGAAATTCACAGGCAAATGGATGGAACTAGAAGAAACCATTCTAATTGAGGTAACCGAAAGACAAATATGATATGTACTCACTTATATACGGATAGTAGACATAGAACAAAGGGTTATCGGACTACAATCCACACTTCCAGAGAAGGTAGGATACAAGGAGGACCATAAAGAGGGACATATACAGTCTCCCAGTGAAGGGGAAAGGAACAAGAGCCCCTGAACAAACTGGGATCATGGTGCCTCGGAGGGGGAGGCAGGTAGGAGAAAGAGGAAGGGAGAAGAAGAGGACATGAGGGATCAGGAACATTGAATAGGGTGATGAACACAGGAGAACAAGAAAAGGAACACATCAATAGAGGGAGCCATCATAGGTTTAAAGAGAAATCTGGCACTAGGGAATTGTACAGAGTTCCTCAAGGATGATCCCAACTAGGAATCTAAGCAATAGTGGAGAGGCTACCTTAAAAGCCCTTCCCTTATAATAAGAATGATGATTATCTTAAATGCCATCCTAGAGCCTTCATCCAGTAGCTGAAACAGAATCAGAGATGCACAACTAAGCATTGAGCTCAACTCCTGGAATCCAGTTGCAGACAGGGAGGAGAGATAAAGGGGTCAAGACCAGGCTGGAGAAACCCACAGAAACAGCTGATCTGAGCAAGTGGGAACTCACGGACCCCAGTCTGACAGCTGGGGAACCAACATAGAACCAAACCAGGCCCCCTGAACTTGGGTGTCAGCAAGTAGGACTGGGCAGTCACAGGGGCCTCTGGCAGTGGAACCAGGAAGTATCCCTAGTGCAGGAACCGACTTTGGGAGCCTATTCCCCATGGAGGGATACTCTCTTAATCTAGAGACACAGAGGAGGGCTTAGGCCCTACCCCAAATGACTTGACAGATTTTGATGATCCCTCATGGAAGGCCTCATCCTTCCTGGAAATGGATAAGAGATGGGATGGGGGGGTTGGTGGGTAGTCATGGGAGGATGGGAGGAAGAAGGAGCTGGGATTGACATGTAAAATAAGATTGTTTCTAATTTAATTAAATTTATTAATAAAAAGATATCAATGCTTTACTCTGTACACTACATGTCTAGATGTGCTTGTGGATTTTAGTAGTCTATTGTGTCTGAGTCTTCTTAAAGCAATAGTAGGTAGAGTGCATCCAATAAAGATTTGGGACATGCACTCATAGATCTGACTTAATTTCATAACTGCAAAGCAGAGAACAATGGAAGGCAGATTTGAAAGAGTTGGCCTTGCAACCACACACACCTTTCAACTCAAAATATGACACTGCATTTAATAATGACTATGGAGGACACTGTGACAGACACTTTTATAAGTAGTGTAATGCAAATCTGTGCTACCCAGTTTATTCCTGGCATGTGTTTGACCCAAATCTTTTGCAATGTCTCTCCGTGGCCTCTGACATAATCATATAGATTGATAGACAGCAAATGAATGTCATTACCAGCACACTCCCCTCCAGAGCTTTCCAGAGATGACATATGTCTAACACAGCAAGGTTCATGCATAAGTTGCACACACAAGTAACTCCTCCTGTCACACTGACATTAGAATACAATGACAGAAGGTGGGGAGGAGAGACACAGAACTGCTCAACAGGGGAACTGCACTCCACCCATGGAAGAACAGGAATCCAACATCAGCAGTTTGCTTAACTGGTTGGATAGGGCGGTGCCTGGGGTGAAGGAAGTGGAGGGCATGGTTCTGTCCTGGCTAACTGTAAGACTCATTTGCTCACAGTGAAACCTCCGGTGTAAGGACAGGGAGGCATCCCAGCTGCAGCTGCAGAAAAAGACCCAGGAATGCAACCACAGTAGCAGCATCAGCCAACAACTGCAGAATGGAAAGGAAGGAATAATGGAGTGTCAGGTTACATATGAAAGGAGCAAAGTGGGAGAAATCAGGGGAAACCAGAAGAAAACCACACCAGGTCACAACAGTAATGACATCCAAAAAGAATGAACATTTGCTGCATATAGGAAGGAATATTCAAACTCGGCAAAGAGGATTCTTCTATTAAGATGGGAAATTTTCAATTGTGCTAGGTCCTAGAATAGCCCGAGAACATGCACTCCTGACCAGGAAGGAGCCCTGGAGATGGGCATGCAAAACATTTCCTAGAAACACAGATGCAGGTGCCAGATAAAGAGCATGAGCCCAGCCAACAACTGGCCATTATTAGGCCACCTGGGCCCAACCAATCAGGAGCCTGCTAGCCCTAACCAGACCCTCTTACAGGCTTGCAGTTTTTGTCTTTATAAGCTCATGTAAAATTGGGCTCTGGGCTCTCTCTCCTTGTCCTTTGTGTGTTAAGAGTTGAGCCCTAGCTGGCTGGAACCCAAACAAAGCCTCTTGCTGTTTTGCATCAGAGTAAATTCAAAGAAGTATCTAATCACCAAAATTTAAAGTTTTCAACAAAAATATATTAGCGACAAACGTATAAATTAAGTGTGAAATGTGTCAACAGAAGCTAAGCACATGTAGTTCTTGAGTCACAAAGTATTGATTGCATGGATCTGTCAAGGTGCTCACTGTAAGAAACATTACAGTATTTAACACACCCATGAAGTATGTTCAAGTGTTTTCTGACACAGACTTGGGTAGCCTAGGCTTTGAATTTGCTATGCCTGCCTCCTGCCTCCCCCTCACAAATGCAGAGATGACAGGGTGTGCAATAGAGTAGACTGGAATTTTGTTTTCTGTCACAGGTCTGTTTACTTTATGACATGAATATACACAGGTCTCCTCACCCTGCTGACCTGACACAAAACTCTGTTACCATAAAACAAGGCCATAAGAACTTTTCACCTGTTTCTAGGGATCCTGCTCAGGGATTACCTTAACAGCTCAAGGCCAGAAAAAGACATGTTGACACATCAATTGTGGAGGAATGGAGGATCTTTCAGAGATTTAAGACAATACAGCCCTCAAGGTGAGGCTTGGAGTCAGCTTCTCCAGTCCCTTCTCCCTACAGAGGGTCCCTCTCTGTGTGGGGACCTCATGTTTGCTCTCCCAGCCCTAGTCAACGCTTTTCTGTAGCAGCTGAGTCTGGCAGACTGTTGTTTTCCAGAATTTCCCATCTGAGACCTTTGCTGCGTCTCACATTTTTCCTCTCTTAATTTTTTTGACGTGCAGAGAAAACGAACACAAGACCCTTACACCAGGCAGGACAGGGTACAGGAGGGGTCAGAAACCCGGTTTGCTCTAAGATCCTGAGAATCTGACAGCTTCCACTTGAGAATGGCTCAGCTAGTGAGGCATGCTTCCCCACCAAAGCTGCTCAGTGAGCGCCCAGCTCCACCTCAGCAGCAGGCAGTCAGCTGATCATCATTAGCTTGCAGTCCTGGTCACCTAAGCTGACCATCATTAGCTTGCAGAACCGGACCTTGAGCTATCATCAAGCGCTCCCAGGCAGCTCTCCAGTCCCAGAAGCCCAAGGCGGACTCGGGCTGCACGTCCTAAGAAAACTATCACTCAGGGAGCAGTCCCTATCGCCCTCTCCTCAGCCCTGACCTGCAAACTCCCGCGTCCCAGCTGGTTCAGCACAGCACCTCCAAGGCAGCTTCTCCGCCCTCACACCCAGCCCAGGTCCGCTCCCTCCAAGACGGATCCGCACCCCGCACAGAGCCTCAGGCTGCGCTGCACCCTGCACCAACCTCCAGGTCAGAGACGCAGCAGGAGATCCAGCAGGGCAGGACTCGAGCCTAACTTTGAGGTAGAAGCACATGTGGAGACCAACAACCGGATCGCGATTTCCTGGATGTATTGCTATGAGGTCACAGTCGTATGGACTACAGTCCCCAGAAGTCTGCGCGAAGGGAATCCCGGGATCTCATTAAACTACTTTAGTTCCTGGATTTGTGGCCAGTTGCAGCAGTCGAGTTTGGGAGGGGGAAGCTGGGGTTGCAGGATGTGTTCAGGAGAAATCCCATGAAAGAACACAAGACAAGTGTGCAATCAGCAAAGGTGTTTCATCCAGCATGCAGGCGCAACAAAAAGTGACCCCTCGCGAAGTTTGCAGGTCACTTTTAAGAAAGGTTAAGGGAGTTGCAGGGATTGATGGGTCTAAGGAAAAAGTGTACAGGGGTCGCAGGTTTGGTAGTTTCCCGTCGTGGTTAGGGACTTCCCAGTCGCAGGATGAATAAACTTATCTTTAGCTGGCAGAGGGCTGTGGGCAGCAGTTGCTCCTGCGTTGTGGTCTTTCCAAGAGCTGATTGTTCAGTCCCAGTAAATCGAAACTGAGGGATGCTCTCCGACAGGGCTATCAGCAGCCTGTCATGACTTCTGGTTGGTTCTCCCACAGGATAGTCGTGGGCAGTAAGGCTGGCATTCACCCCCAGATCTTCAACATGAGATGTGTGAATGCGAGTCCAGCCTTGGACAGAAATTATTAGGCTTGCTGGTCATTCCTGGCCCATATGTTCCGATTTAATCTTCCTACCGACTGGGGAAAAACAAAACAAAGCAAAAAACACACTGATCAGTTTTACTTTAAAGTAACCAAGCAACACACTAACGTGGGAACCAGAAGAATTGTTTTAAGGTTATTTTGAAACCAGATTTAGTGTCCTTGAATGTGCTTCTAGATGTTCAGCGGTTACTGACAAATGAACAATTTATAGAAAACTTTCTAAATAAAAAGTAAGAACAAAACAAACAAAAACTGTATACTTAGGAGGAGTAAAGCAGTTGAGTATAATGCAGGCTTTGCCTTTGTATGCAGCCCTACAAATAAATAAATAAATAATAATCTTCATTCTTCTGTACTGACTCTGTGAGCCATTCGCGAATCTGACTGCACAGCTTGTAAAACAGTCCTGTGTGAACATTGGAATCCTACAGTGTAGAGGATTGGTGAGGGACACAGAGTTGGTACAGTCGCTGAACAAAGTTAAATGTCTAACTCTCTGACATTTACTTGCAAAGAACTCCCATAATCCATGTCAGGATTTTTTTCACCTGTCCTTCTGTCCCTTAAAAATGTCAGCTGCTAATGTATATAAGAAATCCATGTGTGTATGAGAGAGACACTGAGAGATCTCTCTTAGAATTTACCTAAAATTAAGGAGCCCTTCCCCAGAAGAGCAGTGAAAGAGAACATAACTGATTTTCAGGTTCCAACTCTGCCACGGATTTTGTATTTGGTGGCATATAAGTGTATATTACATATCCAATAGAGACTGTGTTAAATGTCAGTGTCTCAGCTTCTGCTCTGAACACCAGTTCTCACTGTACAGAAGATTGTGAGCTCTGTAGTCCTCAGATCTCATTCATTTTGATGTGTAATCATTTTTCTATTTGACATCTTTAAACAATAGGGTTTAAATTTTTTAAAAAGAGAGCAGTGAACAATACCACCTAAGAATGTGAGTCTCTGCTATAATATCCATTTAAGTTGGGTCCTTGAAAGGCTTCCTGCACAGACTATAGCTATAAAAACCATTCTCTTGTAGAACAAGTGAATATTCAGTAAGGCTGTCTCCATTCATAAGGAAACCTCCCTCTGTGTTCTGAGGAACTAGGTCTGCAGAGACTCCAACCAGGAAGAAAACATTGACTCCCATACACACAGCAAACCTGATCTTTGTTCAAGGTGCATTGCTGACCACATCAAAGTCATTTTTAAGAAACAGACCTTGACACAGCAGCCTTTCTTTGCTATTGACTAGGATGGCATTTAAAGCCTGAAGCTTAGACTCTTTCATTGAGATATAATGTAGAGGCTTATTCATTTGACTGTTTTCTCTAATGTTCACATGACACTGTAGGATCACCATTGTGGAACAATGCAAAACTCAGCCTATCCCTTTATGACATGGTCCTTATTTCTCTGTGGATGTGCTAGTGTAAAGATATAGCTCACAAAGCTGGACACTGGTGTGTGTGTGGGGGGCGAATCACTCTTAAATCCACATGCTCTTCCACTGGATTCTATCCCTGGAACCTAGCAACTTCCCTCAACTCAAAGCAAGACAAGAGTAATTGGATGTGCAATGGATTAAAAAATAGCTCTATTTCAAACTAAGCTGTTGTGTAAAACAAAAAACCTGGGATACAGCAGGACTTTACTCTTAGCCTGAGGCTGTTAATGAGGACCCCCAATTCCACAGGTCAGCCATTGTGTGTTGAGTGTGATCTGAAGAGGAATCTGATCTCAGAGCCTCTTGGCTCACTTCCCAGAACTGGTCCCTCTTCCCCTTTTTACATAAATGTTATGCTAAAATGTTAATCAGATGCATATTCTGCTTCTGTAATCTCAACTACTGCTTCCTTAGAAAACACAAACTAAAGCCAACACCATAAAATGCCTTATGTGGCAGAAAATCCCCAGAGTTGAGACAACTGTGGTTTGTGCCTTTAAAGAAAATCCACAGCAGGTCTCAAATTGGTGGGGACTGTGGTTCTAAATGAAAACTTATTTTCATTTGTTTCTTTTGTTTTGATTTCTTAATTCCTAGTTTTGTTCAGTGGGTCTTTCTCGGTGGTCTTGAGGTCTGTAACAGTCAGCCATAAGTTATAGAAAGGACCTGATCCCCCCTTGCCTAAAAGTACTGAGAAATCCAGTAACAGTCACATGAGAATGGCCCAGCTAAGGAGCAAATGCTTCGACCACCTAACCTCCAGGCAAGGACCTTCGGCTAGCCCACACTATCCTTGCAATCCTGGTTCTTCCAAGCTTCTCCATTCCCAAAGCACCAAGCCAGCTTCTCTGTCTCAGAAGCACAAGTTGAATCCCAGGCAGCTATACACATCCTGCCACCATCTACATGGCTCTCTCCCCAGTCCTGACCAGCTGTGGGATGTTAATTCAAGAGGTGTCACATTAGTTTATGCTGCGAAATATGTTTCCACGGATGCAAAGACATGTTGCATTGTTTGATTAAATAAAATTAACCTATGGTCAGGAGGTTGAATCAGCAACTGACAGGAAGCTGGGGAGGAACCACATATAGTTAGTGCTCCAAGGTAGGGGCTGGGCAGGAGGGGGAGGTTGCAGAGGAGCTAGGAGAGGAGGTTACCTACTTGTTATCTAGCCTCTCTGAGGGAGCACAGTTTCACCTCAGCCTTTGAATCCTGAGTTCTACAGAGGGATGGAGATCTAGGTAAAATTACAGCTTTAGCGTCAGTGACAAATCCAGTGCCCGAGGATTCCGTGCAGTCCCTCAGGCTGCACTGGAACCTAGAGCAATCTCCACATCACAGATGCAACTGGATTGCGGAGGAGGACCCGACACTCGCCCAACTTTGGGCAGGATCAGCATGCACGTGATAACTCAAAGTTCAACTGTGTTTTCCAAAGTACGGGCCCATGATGTCACAGAGACTAGGACTACATTTCCCACAAGTCTGCGCGACGGGGTTCCAGGAAGCCGGGGAGCATGTTTTCCATTGTTACTGGGTTTCCGTGCTGTAGTGTCTCGGTTAGGAAACATGGAGAAAACGAACTGAATCGAGTCGGATTTTCACGTATCATGGGGCTGTCACCAGTTACCGTTGCCCAGCTTAAAGAGTGTGTGTATGAGCGTTAAAGGCAAAGGTCACTGAAAAAGTTTCTACACCCGATAAGCTTCTCCGCATATACACGCAATCCAAATCAGACCAAATCAAACCAAGTTAGGAAAAGAAAAACCCTCGTTTAACGGGTACAACATTCGCGGATGGCCTTCCTGCCCTACAGAGAGGAGACGGGAGAGGAAGACGGGAAAAACCAGGAGTCAGTTAGAATACCCTGTGGGAGTGGCCTTGAGCATCTCTGGGGGAGAGGTCACCATTTGGCGGGTTTTCTGAGATGCAGCAGGGTTTGGAGGAAGGTGGGGGAGGGCGCTTGGGTGGAACTTCCATTCTAACGTTCCAGACTCTTTGGGTCTGTGGTTGCTAGGGGCTGGGGTGAAGCCTCCATCAGAACAGCCACCATCACTTCATTTCTGTGGAATTTACAGCTAATTGAGCGACTGCCTCACTCCCAGCCAAGTGGCAGTAAGCTAGTCTACAGAAACCAGACCATGCTTTAGTTGTCTCTCTGGAGAGGGGGTGAAGACAGAGTTGCTGGGAGCTTATCTTTTAGGAATTTAGAGTGGTTGCCCAGCACCAAACAGTTTTCCTTAGCCATCCCAGAGGATGTCGAGCAAAAGCTGCATCTGCTCAAGCAACAGGGAGTCAAGCTGCTCTTAAAATCACACGTTTGCTGCTATAGTGGTAGTCCAGGGAATGCATGAGTGCAGCTTGAATCCTGCATTGTCAGTCAAATGCATGGCACCCGAGGCTCCAGATAAAATGGCCTAGACTACAAAGGATCGGGCAGGCTCCAGCCCTTATCTCCTTGGTGTGAAGCAGAAATAGCTCTTGTCTTAGGTTAGCTGTTCTCCTTTCAAACAGGATTTTTCAGTGGACACTGACAGAGGGACACTGTTGGGTTCAATTGCAACTTCGCTGTCAAGTGACCACATAGGGACTGTGAGAAGGACATTGAGCATACCACAAATTGCCCGGCGACGGTTCTCTGCAACTGTTCCAAAACTCCATGAAGACCCAAGGGTTGCAAAGGCTTACAAAACCAGTATCATATGGGCACTGCTTTCTAATTGCTTAGGATGTCGCCAGGCCCAATAGCATAGCGTTGTCTCTGGGTACAGGTCCTGGGGAAATAATTTCCCAGAAGAGTCGTTTTGAGCACAGAGCTCATTCAATGGTATTTTCAATTTTGCTATCTCAA